TACACAAGATGGCTGCTCCCATGTGGTCAAAGATGGCTGCCCCCATGTGGACACAAGATGACCACCACAAGATGGCCAGCAGGGAGAGCAATTGTGGACAATCAGGCCAGCAGAGGAGGACAGTTGGAAGGGACCAGGCCTGCAATGGAGGGCAGTTGGGAGCAATTAGGCCAGTAGGGGAGGACAGTTGGGAATGACCTGGCCTGCAGGGGAGGGCAGTTAGGGGCAACCAGGCCTGCAGGGGAGAGCAGTTGGGAGCAATCAGGTCAGTAGGGGAGCAGTTAGGCATTGATCAGGCTGGCAGGGGAGTGGTTAGGGGGTGATCAGGCTGGCAGGCAGAAGAGGTTAGGGGCAATCAGGCAGGCAGACAGGTGAGCAATTGGGAGCCAGCAGTCCTGGATTGTGAGAGGGATGTCCTACTGCCTGGGATCTGGCCTAAACAGGCAGTTGGACATCTTTTGAGAGGTCCCAGATTGGAGAGGGTACAGGATGGGCTGAGGGACAACCCCTCCCCCCCATGCATGAATTTCATGCATCGGGCCTCTATTGTACTATAATAACAGATGTTATTATAATACAATAACATTGGAGATCTCAGTGAAGTGTGGTAGCTTTCCAGAAGAAACTGACAACAAAGCTGATCCTTAAAGAATAATTAAGTTGACAAAATAGAGTGACTGTTGAAGTTGTTGAGAGCCTAGGTCAGTGGTCAGCAAACTGCGGCTCTTGAGTCACATGAAGCTCTTTGGCCCCTTGAGTGTGGCTCTTTCATAAAATACCACTGCCTGGCGAGTTTATTTTGAAGAAGTGGCTTTAGAAGAAGTTTAAATTTAAAAAAATTGACTCTCAAAAGAAATTTCAATTGTTGTACTGTTGATATTTGACTCTGTTGACAAATGAGTTTGCCAACCACTGGCCTAGGTGATCAGATAAACACAATTTGAATAATTAGTAACTACCTACTCTAGACCCAATTATTGTTTTAATTACTATTAGGACAAAAATAATTGTAGGATGTAGTCCTTTCCTAATTGACACCTCACAATCTATTTAGGGAGAAAACTTTATATCCAAAACAAAATGGTAATAGTACATAGTAAAGTGTACATATGCAATGCATTCATTTGTTTATTCAACAAATATTTATTGTCTATTGACTATGGACAACATCCTGCTCTAGAATTGGGGATATGGCAATGGACAAACACAAGGTCATTGGCCTCACAAAGGTCACATTTTAGTGGATACTAGTAATGGGTTAATATATGTAATATAATATATGGTTTTTAAAAATCATCATCATCATTAATATGTTTCGGCTAAACTAAACTCTAATTTTCTCAAGCAAAGAATACAGTACACAAGTAGAGGTTGTTATTAAGTCAAAAAATGCTGTCAAAAAAAATTAGCCAAGCTTTCCAGTAAAAGCTTTTACTAAAATATTCTGAATGGCAATTCATAACTACATTTTCCAGAAATAATAATCAATTCATCAATTTTAGGCAGTGTGAAGTATTTATAGTAAATAGAACCTTATCCTCTAAGTCAGGTTTCTGAGTTTCTGACTTAATGTATTTATACTTTCAACCAAAAGGAAGATATCCTTTGGCAAAAGCAAAGCATACTTTCTAAGCATTCCTCCAAATTCTAGAACATACATGTATTTTTTATCTTAATGTTATAAATGTACATGTTTGTGAACTTTTGGATATGGGAGAAAGATAATAATAGTTCAAAAAGTACAAGATGTGGAGAAAACATTAAAACATTAGACATTTCTCTGCTATATAAAGGTTAAAAGAAATCACACAAAAAAGTGGCAAAGACACAAAGGCCATTTGTATTTATTGTTGCTATCCTGATATCTGATCACTCTCAGGTATTGAGTGTGGTTTACTAATAATTCTGAAAAGACCTATATGAAAGAGGAGAGTCATATAACGCAAGTGTTTCACCCAATCAAACGGTGATTTAAAAATTGTTTAAATTTACTGGTTGTAGAGAAAGAAGAACAGAGAGAGAGAAAAATCAATTTGCTGTTCCATTTATTTATGCATTCATTGCCTGTTTCTTATATGGAGATCAAACCCACAACTTTGGTGTATCAGAATTATGCTTTAACCAACTGAGCTACCAGACCAGGGCTAACCTGATGATATTTGAGCATATTATTTATTGTTCTTCCCCATCTGACAAGTAAATATAATGTTATTAAGCTACTTCATGTTGATGTTAATTAACAAGTTACCAAGGAAAGTTGATCTCTGTGATTCAATTCATCACATCAAAAACCAGTGCCATTAACAGTTAACAGTTCCAGCACTTGCATACATTGCTCCTCATCTTGTTTAGTTGCAAGACCAAAAAGGTTGAGGAATGATATTTGAGGGTGTATCAGGGGTGACTTTTAGTGACAGCCAGTGTCTTGTGAAGAACATTTAAAAGAATCCATTCTATGGAACTTCAAGGAAGATACACCTACCGGTAGATTAACATAAATTATCATCTAGCTGCATCTAGCACTGATAACATCCATTCTACATCAAACATTTTCCTGAGAGTGATTCCATGAGCTGCATAATAATCACCTTGCTTTGATTAATTGTTTTGTTGAATTAATTGCACTTAAATACAGATAGTCCTAGTTTCTGCAGTGTATTGCTTCTTATCCTAACTTGGAATCAAAATAGCAGTACAAATTCTAGTACTAAGCATACCAAATGGTTACAGTAAAACGATTTCCATTGGAATTATCAAAATAAATACATTACATGAAATTTGGAACTTGATGTGATGAAAACCTCTAATTAAGGGAAACTTATGAGAGCCTTTAGCAAGTTCTTGGCTGACTGCAATTATTTGGTTTCTTGATCCTCAGACCAATTACATTAACAATGACAAAAGATATGCAAATTTAAACAGACAATAGTCAAGCTGCTCTGACTCATACAGACAGGGATGTTTTCAGCATATATTCAGCTTGATGCACACTAGCAACATTTAGGGTGATAGTTATGCTTGGCTACAATCTGAAAACTATACAATAATCACTGACCAAAAACAATACAAACAAAAATCTAATTTATTTCACACAATAAGTTACCATCTGAAACATGTGCATGATTCAAGCCCAGTAGAATCGTATGTTTACCCTGTCACTGATGAATAATTGCATAGCAACAAAAATATGCATAAATAGGTTTAACTTATCATTTAATTGTATATTTTAAGCAAACAAAATATTATATTTTTGGTAGAATAGTCCATTCAAAACAACCAGGGACTAAACTTCCTTCCCTACCCCCCTCAAAGAATCCAGGCTAATTTAAAATGATTGAATTATCATTAACAACTACATGGAAAGTATACTGGGAATAGAAATAAGCAATTCAATCAAATTCTTTTGTTTATTATGAAAATAAGTGTGTGTGTTTTTTTTAAAAAAAAAACACAAAACAGATATTCTATTATAATGGCTGTTGAAAAATTTAAGTTACAACTATCAAAAGAGTACAGAATTCTGTCTGCTTTCTATTCTTCTATTTATCCTCCCCCACCCACACACTCCCCAACCCCCACCTTATAGTCCATAATAGAAAGATTAACTACAATTCTGGGTTTGGAAACTCTAAAACTACAATCTCAGTGAACTTGTCAAATAAAATAACAGTGATCTTAGTTCAGTCCCTAGTGGACAAAAGTAGAATAACTATTACTCGGCATGATTCAGCAAGAGGTGATGTGAGTGTGACCACACAGGAACATAAAAGAGAATTTATCCTTTCCCTATCTTTTATCTTCTTAAAAGGTTTGCTCTGTTAATTGACTAACTTAAAGAAGACCGGACCGGTTGCATACCTATATATATGCACTAAGTAGGGTTTTTGCAAAGATCCCTGAGAGGTAGAGGGGAAGCTTTTCACAAATTAGGATATTTGCCCCCCTCTTACCCCCCTTATAGTAGCACTTGTTATCTGCTGCTTACCTGTTACACATTTAAACAGAGCGAAGAGAGGATGAACTGCAAGAACTGTTTCATATTTTAACAGGCATAGTTTCAATAAAACAATTTTAAGTAGCATTATAGTGAAATACTGAAAAAAAAATTCCATTTAATTTCTATAAATTGGGATTATGTGCATATTCAATATTAACTTTCATCTGGATACCTACATTCCCACATGGTACTGTCTGAACTACCATACCCTGAAGGCAACTCAGGGATATAGACAAGATATAGCCTAGCCTACAAGCTGTGTCCAGCCCAAGTCTACAGGTGCACGCCTTTTGGAATAGCCACCACCGGCTTTATTTCTCCTTTCCTGGTGAGCAAACAGCCTCTTCCTGATGCAGTCACATTCAAAAGTATCCTCCTGATCTTTTCTCCTCAAAGGCGGAAGAAAATATGACAGAAATAAAGAAAAATCAGTCCCCTGCTATTCTACTACTTGCTAAAACTTAGTTCCCTTTACAAACTTGTACAATTACTTCAACCAAATATCACACTTTTTATGTAATCTCATTTCATGTTAACTTTACTAGTGGTTGAAAAATTAGTATTTAGTAATAATTTCCCATCCTGGCTGCATAACAATTCCTGGTGTAAAATCTATTTGATCCTAAATTAGTAATATCCTTATTATTTTGTTTTTTTTGGCAACTTGCTCAAAAAGTACTTTTTTTTTTAAGTTGGGATTTTGACCATAGGGAAGCTCAAGCTAAATTTTAAGTAAGAGAAAAAAAAAGAGATGTCACAAAACATGCCTTTGCTAGGCACACAAATGGGATGCCATCCTACCTCCCTAAGCTCCCACAAACCTAAAAACCTTGGCTCCCCCGTGGAGTCCCTGGGAGAAAGCCCTCTTGCATATGCAAACACTGCCCCCCTGGAGCAAAAGGTAAACACACAAAATGCTCCCCGAAGGATCTCTTAAGTTTGCTCCAGTGCAAGAACAGGAAAAAAGGCTCCGTGCAATGAGAAACCGAAAGCAACCACTTACTTTTTGCAGCCACTGAGTGTAGTTTTCCAGCACATGCTCCAGATGTTGAAGTTTCTGGGAAGAGAAATCCGGTTCCACGTGTGGGGCATCTCTCTGCAGAGCGTTTGGGTTGTACTGGTCTGTCCTGCTCTCACGACAGTTCCCGTCATGTTCTGGAAGAATGAAAGTGTAGGCACATTGCCCATACTGAATCCGGCTATATCTTCTCCCACCGTTCTCTGGACTTCGGCGCTGGTTGCTGCAGCCTACGTGAGTCAGAAAGGCAGCGAGGAAAGCTAAGGAGAGGAAAACTGTCATTGTACTGCCAGCGCGCTCTCTCTCCGTGCCTCTCGCAAAACTTGCTCCTTTTCTTCTGACCTTTAAGCTACTTCTTTATTTCAGGTAAAACTGCTTGCCTCTGACTTTTTCCCCTGTCCAAAGAAAGCTTTTGAAGAAGAATCAGAGAAAACTAGCCATTTGTTAAGCTTTGTTCTAAAATGTTATATATATTTTTAATTTCACTGTAATGATAGTTTCCCTTAGTTAAAACTTGAGATATTTATTGCATAGTAGCTGAGATTTATTGTTTCCTCTCTGTGTAACCGTTCAGCGTGGAGCCTGCCTGAGTCAGCTGCGTGTACATATTCTAGACCCTTTCCTCTACCCTATCTGCTGCAGATCTGCTATTTTCTCCCAGACCTCAGTGAGTTTTATTAAGGTTGAACATCCAAGCCAAGCTGGAAGCAGGCAGCCTTTCACAAGATGACTTGACAGGAATGCATGAGGGTGCCCCTTCGCAAGGATTGCTGATGGCTTGGAGTAGCAGGATCGTCTTACAAATTGGCTAGATGCGCATGACCTCGATCATGTATGGCCCTCCCGCCCCTTCCGCAGACAATTGTCTGGAGCCTTTAGCAGACTCGTGGCAAATCAATAAATAGAGCAGTCCACCTTAATACACTTTTAGTGTGCATGCTGACCTACTAACTAGCAAACTAGCAGTATGTTTTTGAAGCGTCTGTTGAATTGGAAAATCCCTAAGAAGAAAATTGGCATAGCGTTCAGTGAGATTATTTTTATTATTATTTATGAATGATAAATCTGTATAATTATAAATTTAAAAAAATTATTATTGATCCTGGAGAAAAAAAAATAAAAACTGTTTTTTGAGGATGGTATTCTTTTACTGTATTCACTTAGACTTTTAGGAGTTGGAGAAAATTATCAAATTAGCAAAATATTTCACAACTTATCACTCAGAGGACTATAGCATATGCATATTAAGTTGAATAATATGAGTACTTTCTAAGATACAGATTTTAAATGAAACTAGTTCCTGATTAGAAGGCAGCCCTGCATGTTCTGTATACAAATTGAGCAACTTCTTTACAAAAACAGTGTGGTTACAATTTAAGACAGTGGCCTGGGAATTATTAATTCCTGTGGTATATCCTAATCATATATTTCACAGAGATCTCTTCAGAGTTGCTATCTTTACTACTGCCACAGAAGTTTCACATAAATTTTCCTGTGACTGCATAGACACACTATCTGAAGAAAAAGCATGTATCAGGTGTGCCCATGGGACAGGAAAGGGCTGTATGGGGGAAATCTCTGTGCCTCTTCTATTAAGTAAAGAGCAAACATTGTCAGAGGGTGATTTCCCAAGTTTAGGTTATAAACATTCGAACAAAGGGATCAGTAAAACATTTTTAAAAAAACAACAACAGGTGATAATTACAGAATTAAGGTTACAGCACTGAGATCTTTACTGTGTGCAGAAAATGTGAATTATGAGCAGTGGCTTTCATCAAGAACTGGGAGGGATTTTATGGAATGGAGTTTCTCAATTGCAGTCATGATGTGAAAACAGAAGCCACATATGTTGACTCATGTCCTGGAAAGGTGGGGGGTTAGAGGTTAGAGATTGGCATGCTGGGAGAAGTTAGAGGAGAGAGCAAAAGACATTCCAGAAAAACTGTGATTTACTTGAAAGAAATAAAATGTGCTGAGATGCGTCAGTCCTTCCCATACCAAAAGTACAAGCTTCTGACCTGACAGAGACAGAAGCACGTAATACCAAACATAGAAATAAAGTCTTTGAACAGCTTTTGCAGTTTCATCCTGACGTTGTATGTCTCATGTTGCTGATATGCCACTCACTTGTAATAATTATAAGGACATTTATTAAAAGGTTATTATTTCCAGGCATGTGCTAAGCACTCCTTCCACAAAATCTCATTTAATTATCCCAACAAACCTGAGACATGAATAATAAGCTAAACCCCATTTTTCAGCTGGGAAAACTGAGTCATAGAAGGGCTAACTGGTCACAACTCACATAACTAGTAAGTAATGATGCTAGTGTTCCTAGCCTATGCTTCTAACCTCTTAGCCAGCCAAAAAGTTTCTCCAAGGGCTCCAGCTGCACTGATTCACAGTTCTAACGCAAGTTAACTGATGGGACTTAGGGGGGAAAAAAAAAAAAAAAAACTTATTAAAAACCAGTTTCTGATGCTAAAGTGATTTAATCCTTTCTCTGTACCCAAAAAACACAGGGGGGGAGAGGGAGTGACAGGTAACCCATATCATCAAGTTTTTAAGGACCCATAAGGATGAAACAGATGGCAAAGCACAGATCTGACTAAGAATACTCTCTAGCACTGCTTGTTTTGAAAATTATCCCTGAAAAAAAAGAAAGTCCAAAACCAACACTAATAAGTGCTTTGTTAAGAACTAAATATAGCTGACAATTGGCAGAAGACACCCGTGTGAGGTATTAAAGTGCTCCTGTCTTGTTTTTTTAACAGCAAGATTGTTAAACACCGGTTCTCGTGTCTGTGTGTGTATCTACGTGTACTTGTGCATATAAACTTTTCCAGTCTGAAAAATAAAAAGAAGGAATGCACAATTCCTGAGTGAAGAGTAGACAAACTAATATAGAGAAGCCAGAAATACAAATACAAAAGGGAGAGTGGACATAGAGACAATGAAAGAAATAGAGACTGATTGATTTCTTTTCCACGAAAAAAACAAACAAACAAAACAAAAACCCCACACATAATATTGAAAGTGTCAATCTGGAAAAAAATAAAAGTCTTAAGATCAATTTAAAGCAGCTAGAAAACACAGGGACATCGGAATGGACATATGTGCTTTGGGACTCCATCTGAAGAAACACTGAGTGCATCTGAAGATCCTAATGATATACTAAAGACTATGCTTTCAGTGACCTGAACCTAACCAATACCAATACTGTTACTGCTGTTGGTGATTACTAAATGATACAGTTTAAAAATGGTACAGTATAGGAGAATTTGGAATTTTGGAAGTAGTATGAAGAACAAGGCATATTTATTTATTTTTTTAAATTCTCTACCACATCTCCAAAAAAAAGGTTTAAAAAATGTTCTCGGGAACTAAATAATTATATTCAGTTGTATTCTGAGGGAGCTTGGTTTTGAAAGCTTTTATATTTTTCTTGCATTAGCAGAGCTCTGGAATAATGAGGTGTATGCTTTGAGATTCTGATCCTGGAACTGGCCAAGTATTTCAGGTGGTTAGAGTGTCATCCCACTACACCAAGGTTGTGGGTTTGATCCCTCATCAGGGCATATACAAGAATCAATCAATTAATGCACAAATAACATTGATTGAAGAACAATCAGTGGATAGAGAATTGGCCTGTGGACTGGTCAAGGGCACATGCCTGGGGTTATAGGCGCGATCCCCAGAAGGAGACTTATAGGAGGCAGCCAATCAATCAATGATTCCCTCTCATCATTAATGTTTCTATCTCTCCCTCTCCCTTTCTCTCTGACATTAATAAAAATATATTGAGAAAGGAAAAAAAAAAAAAAAAAAAAAAGGAGCCATCCTTTTTTTACCCCTCCTGTACTTAGTTTTATCAATTCTTATCTTTAGCCTAAGGTCTCTCAACCTTTAACCTTTAGCTCCACCAGGGAACTTAAAAAAAAAAAAAAAAAAAAACAAAAAAAAAAAACAGCTGAAGGAAAATTAGCCTTTTATCTTAAGACAAAGAGGTCTGGAATCTCAAGAAACTCACCAAAGTCCACCAAATGCAAAGTGAAGAACTGGTGGGGCACAATGGGCCCCTGCTGGTACCTAGCACTGGTCCAGGTCATGGTCCTGGGTTGTTGGCGCCTCTGGAATTCTGCCTCAGAATCTGAGTCACAGCACCATAATGTTGGGGACTGTGGAGTCAAATGGGACATGGGTTCAACAACCTCGGTACTTGAGTTCTGCCTAGGAAAAAATTCAGAGCCAAGACTCAAACATCTCAAGTCAAATTTATAGGAAAGATTCCTTTATTAACTTTTGGTCGAGAATATGTTTGTATATTTTCAGAAAACAACTCCGAGACCATGTGGATTCCTGCAACAGAGAGGAATTGACAGGAGTGTTCCAGCCATGAAGACAGAAGAGAAACAGTCCAAAGATGGAAGACACTGACAATGCCTTGAATACTAGCAGTCAGCAGCTGTGCATCACTGCAGGTTGCCCAGGACCAAACCAGAGAAGGTCAGACCTGCATTACCACCATTTGTCCACCATCCAGAACTGAAATATCATTGCTGACATGTACACATAAGAAACTGTTTGACATAGAAATTGGAACTCAAAAAGAACTGTTGGCCCAGAAAGAAATTCACTATAGACTGATTCATTTGCCTCTCAGCATAACCATTATTGCTTGTCTCATTTTCAGTTCTTATAAGTGTATTTCTAGTAACACATGAGCTCACTCATCTAGGGAAAATGATGAACAACATACACTGATGAACAAGAACACCATTGATCAGACTGTCGGACCGCAGAGTGAAGGTAGGGGAAGGTGGGGATAAGAAGAGAGATCAACCAAAGGACTTGTGTGCATGCATATGAGTCTAACCAGTGGTCATGGACAACAATGGGGTAGGAGCATGCGTGGGGAGGGGTTTGGGATAAGAATGGGGGGTTGGGGGAGATGATGACAAATATGTGATACCTTAATCAATAAAGTAATAAAAAATTAAATTTTAAAATATTCATTAAAATAGACTCAAACTATAAGATAGCATTTATTTAGAAAATCACAGAGGTAGAAGAAATAATTTCTAGGAGAAATGGGCTGAGGAAATAAGTTATAGAGAGAAAGGAAGGGTCCAAGGAGCTTGAGAGTGAGGAGGGTAATGGTAATGCACCTGGGGGAGAAGGAGGAAGGGAAAGGCACTGGTGTGCTTCCAAGAGGGAGAGTGGGCTGGGTCTTCCGTTCTAAGGGGATTAAGGGTGAAGATTTAGGGGAGGTCCCAGAAAAAGATCTCCATAGATCTTTCCAGGTGTGTTCTTTCAGGGTCTAGGTCTCCACTGATTGATTAGTTTGCTCCAGGGCAGGGTGTCATTATCCAATGCAGCTTGTCCTGAGATCAGCCTGAGGGGTCCCTTGTCTAGTTTTGCTGCTTTTCTGGGCCTGGAGCTGAAATACAGCTGAGGCCTAGATGCTATCTCTATGGAGAAAAAGTCATGGGTCCAAATGATATGCTAGGAAGGAGAGTTCATCCCTGGGGGCAAGGTCCAACCCTTCAATTGTCCACTGCTAGGAACCTGGGGCTTCTCTGGTGACCTTCTATACCTGGCCCATCATCCTTGCTCTGCTCATGCCTAACTGCCTACCACATCATAACCTTCAAAACAGAGCTAAAATTAAGCAAAAAGGTTGCCTCAGCTGCTAACCAACATCCAATCTGATTATTCAGTTATATTGGATCCATTCTACATGTGTAGCTCTGTACCATATCACTTGTTACAGATCTTACCACCCATGATCTAAAATAAAATTAGACAATAAATAAAAT